TTTAATTAACTCTTGCAAAATCATTACAATTATATAAATATAATAGGTTTCTAAGGTTTGAAAGTAAATTTTTAAAAAATTTTTTTTGTAATTTTGAATAATAGAAAATTTACCTTCTACTACCCCTACTCAACTCATTCTCAATTGGTTTCTTCTAATACACCACATAATACTACTGACCCTACACAACCCTCTACAACTACTCAACATAATCATTCTCAATCAGTTTCTTCTAATATACCATATAATACTACTGACCCTAAACAACCACCTTCAACTACTCAACATGATCGTTCTCAATCAGTTTTTTCTAATGTACTATATAAATCTGCTGCTTCTTAAACACCACTATTTAAATCTGCTAATCCTCAACCAACATCTAACAACTAGGGTTGGGGGCACAAAAAAATTTTTAGGCATGCTCAAAAGGGTATGCCTTGGCTGAGGCATGCCTCTCATATTATGCCTGGGCATGCCCCTATATATAAATTATATAATATACATGATATATATAAATTAATGAATATCACAAAATATATTTATTTTATTAAAAAAAAATACTACTAATATATTTTTATTTATTATAAAATAATTTAATTTAAAAATTTATTAATTTCTACAAAAATATTATCAATAAATCAAATTTTCTCTTTTAATGATTTAATAAATGATCAGGTATATGTTTCTAATACATATACCAATCATTATATTATATTTTCTTCTGTTCTGTCTGCTTGTGACCATCATCCTATTGGACCACATATACTAAATAATCTGATGGGTTGGGTGGGTGAGATGAAAAAACCCAGACAATATTTAACCAGCTAAAATTATGCTATTTTGACTGAGAAAAACTCATTCCCCTAAATTAAAATATTGATCAATAATTATTGCATAATCTACTAAGTAGCTTTATGTATATATTCATTAAGATCCTTAAATGTCTATTTGCATCATATGCTTAAGCTATTGATTTTGATGACCATTGAGCTGCTATTTTCAGCCACTGAACCATGATCATACTAAGAAAACTCTAGTTTATAAAGTTATTTAGCTGCAATTAAAGTCTTTATATTGCTACGCAGCCATAGAACTATATATCACCAATGCCTATCAGCATAAAATACTTATACTAAGTAACTCTATGTTATGTATTAATTAAGGTCCTTGCACTGCTATGCAGCTGTAAAGCCTTACATATACCAACTCCCATCAGCATCATTTGCTTAAACTATTGATTAGTGATTATTAAACTGCTTTTAGTCACTGAGCCATGATCGTACTAAACAAACTTTAATTCATAAAATCATTGAGCTGCAATTAAGGTCCTTATCTTAATATATACTTATACCAACTAAATTCAAGGACCTCTGATGGGTCATGATGGGCAGGATGAAAAAACTCAGACAAGTTTTGGACTAGCTAAAAGCCATTTATTGTCTGAGAAAAACCCATTTCTCTACGATGCCACAAAACAAGTTTAAAGCCAAATCTACTATAAGGTTATTAAGCTGCTATCAGACTCTTGTACTAGGAATTTGAATAATCTAAAATTTTTTTAAATGCTAATCATCTAACTATATTAACTGTTTGACTGAGCAGCCTTGACCTATGATGATAACCTTGTCTCAGTATAAGTTAACCATCAATCAAGTGATTATTGTATTGCTTTAGTCACAGAGCCACGATCATATTAAGCAGATTAAAAGATAAAATGTTAATTGGGTGTCATTGCACAAGTATACTAAACAGATTCTATATTAATTCGCTAATATGCTTATACTGCTATGCAACCGTATATCTGTCAATGCTTATTGGCATAAGATACTTAAACTATTGATTAGGTAGTCATTGTACTGCTATGATTATACTAAGCAGATCTAATTCATATAGAATGTTCTTTAATTCAGATAGCACCCTTCCTACTATTTGGGTGGGATGGGTAGGATGATGAAGCCAGCCTAATATCATAATGCAGGTGATAGCGAAACCAAAAATAGATCTTATTAACACAAAGTTTCCCTCATATATACTAACTTTCATATGATTTAGCATGAACATCATACGTATTACGCTTACAAACCCATGTACAATGATGTCATTTCCGATCTCGCAATAATATTGGCTTTGTCATTTCATTGACAAGCCAATCAAGTTATGCCTTAATGATCACATTATATAATTTTTGAAATTCTGGTTAGATTGAACATTTAGTCTTGATCTCATGATCTAGATCGAATTAGTTTAATATCCTTAACTGTAGTTTTTTATCTATAATAATAATTTAATCTAGTTAAATAATCATGATAACCATATATTTGGAATATTGTATTATTTTTGATATTAATACAAAGGTAAAAGAATACGATATTGAATACTGTGTGCTTAGGAATTTATATTATAAACATTACATTAATCTATCACGTTTATCGATAAATTCTTATACATATTAGTTTTTCTAGTTAATTTATTGTGGCTATGCATACAATAGCTTCTAGATTTGAAAAATAGATCTTACCTTGCTATTTTTAGCAATTAATTTAAGGGTATTTTATGATTATTAGAGTGTGTATTTATTTTAAAAAAAGTTATGGTTATTTATTAGTTTTCTAGATTGATTGTTAGATATACATATGTGTCTAAAAAATAATGTTGATTTTAATGATTTCAACTTCCTTTAACTCTAGCTTATGCTTTTGCTGACTATAAATGCCAAGGTCAAACTTTGGATAAAGCAGTAATCGACCTATCAAATACTAATATTTATAATAGCACATACATCATGCTTTCTAGAAAAATGATTTATTATTTTTACACCTCTTTGATGAATCTTTATTGAATATAAATCTACTACCTG